TTGATTCCAAACGACTTTATTTTTTTCACAAATTATACAGAGGTTTCACTGACTTTACTTTTTGAAGTCGTTAGCCCACTATCAATAATGTCTTGTCTATTTTGGCAACATCTATGAAATTTGTTCCAAATATGTAAAAGAACGGTTTCCTTCAGATTAGGTTAAGTTTGGTTATCACTGCTACTTGATTCTTTGAATGATTGGCATGGCTTCTTCAAGCTCTCTCTTGAGGATGGAAGAAATAGCAGGGAAAGGAAGAGGTCTCGTTGCAGCAAAATCCCTGAAAGCAGGTCAAATAATTCTCACTGAATCCCCTCTCATTCTCTACTCAGCTTCTCCTCTCTATGCACCATCTTCTTCACCTTTCACCAACTGTGATCACTGCTTCAGAATCTTATCCTCTCACACAACCATTTTCCGATGCCCCTCTTGCTCCCACCACACTTTCTGCTCCCAAAGCTGTCTCTCACTTGCACAAAACTCCTCACACTCCAATTGGGTATGCAAAGCTCTCACCTTTCTTCTTCAACACCCCAACTCAACACTCTTTCAACAACACCCTCCAGAACGCCAAGTTCAAGCTCGTTTCGTTGTAGCTTCTCACAACCTCTTCCTCCACTCCCCTTCTCAACTTCACACTTTCCTCTCTCTTCATGGCACTCCAGATACTGCCATTTATGATGTTGCCAAGTTTCTCCATTCTCTAATCTCACCTCTTTTCCCACCCGAGGGTCAACTTTCTGTAGATCTCACTGCACAACTTCTTGCAAAGGACAGACTCAACTCCTTCTGCTTAATGGACCCCTATTCCCCTGATGGACCTCAGAGATCCATCAAAGCTTATGCTATTTACCCCAAAGCCACGTTCTTCAACCATGACTGTGTTCCCAATGCCTGCAGGTTCGATTATGTGGACACTGGTGATGAACACAACACTGACATAGTTTTTAGGTTGATCGAGGATGTTCCTGCTGGGAAAGAGATCTGCATCAGCTATTTCAGGATTGGAAGGGATTATTTCACCAGAAAAAGGATCTTGATGGAGGATTATGGCTTCACTTGTGGATGTGATAGGTGCAGGATCGAAGCAAATTGGGGAGAAAACCAGGTGGAGATGAACAGTGACCTGCCACACGTGCGGTTCCTTCGCAAGCATATTTGTGAGAGGAAGAATTGTGCTGGCACAATGGCTCCTCTGCCTCCAAAAGATGATGTGCCTTCTAATATTCTGGAGTGTAACTTCTGTGGCAATTTGAAAGAAATATGATTGTGATGTTGCTTAGTTTTGATGTCAATGAAATTGTCATATCAGTTGTATTTTCTGGTATCTTTTTGGAAGACTCAGATTATGCAATGTGGTTACTCTTGTCCTTTAGTTTTGCTTGAAGATAGTGACATTGCATTCTGTATAGTCCTTTGATTCTGAGAATTCTTTTCCTTGGGAGAAAAACCTTTTTCTCAAAACAAAAACCGTTGAAATGTGAAAATTTCATTTGTTGCAAACACACTTAAGAGAAATAGTTTAGTCTGTCAGTGTATCTTTGACAAAAACTATAACGACACATGATTTAGATCAATTTTCAAAGACTAGTTAAATAAAATTAAAACAAAAAATGTCCACACGAAATTTTATAGACGAATGCAAACTTTATTTTACAAAAGGATTTTGTAGAATTAAAAATCTTAAATTAACTTAAAATAAAGTTAATTTAAAATATATAAATAGATGTGAAATTAAGTTAGATTTAAAATTCTTTTTAACATCAACTTTTTCAAAATTAAAACCATACCCAAAAGTCAATCACGTTTTATGATATAAATTTAAATCTTCATTGTTTAAAGAAAACATATTAAGAAATTATATCTGCATTTCCAACCTATTTCGTTCAGTATTTTTCCTCCAAAACTGCTTTTTGTTTTGAAACAAGCCACTTTCAAAAAATGTATTACTTTTATTTGAGACCAATTATCCTGGTTTGGACCTCATATCTTGTTAGGCTAAAGAGAATTAGTTTACGAATTTTCTTCCTACACGCATAATTTTCTTCCTACACCCCATCATTTTGAAAAAAAAAGATTGAAACATAATAAATAATTCCGAGTTTATTTTTCAGAAGTCAAACATTTAAAAGCATTTTCCGGAAAGTTTAAATTTGATGAGGGGAGGAAACAATTGCCATTATAGTTTATTATTTAGAATAAATTAGCCCTTATTTAGAATAATTAACAGTTTAAAGTTGGAAAGTTTCAAAACAATAAAACCAATTTTTAGTTTCATAATTTTAATTTTAAATTGACTATTTTATTTTTTTTAAGTTAATTCTTAGATTCAAACCAGTAAGTTACAAAATCATTTGGGAGTGAGACAGCAATAGAAAGAAAAGCTTATTGAAGAATTTCATCTAGGGTCAATTAATTCTAAAGTTTATAAATTTAAGTACTTTTAATTGAACTATTGATTGAGTATTAATTCTTTTTACGGAGTCATTAATTACCCTTTTATTGTTCTGTTTAAATAGTGACAGCTTTTATATTGTTTCATTGCTCTAAAATGGAGCTGTATACTTAAAAAAAAGGCTAATTTATCTTTGATATACTTAGTTTTTATCAGAAATATTTATATAGAAATGCATTCTCTATTGGTGTTTCCTATAATAATTTAAGAATGCTTAAAAATCAATTTCTCACTCAATTAGTTTGCATAATAATTGTTTAAAATTGAAAGAGCAAAAAATAAATAAAAGAATATTTTACTTTTGGAGTGATACAAGTGGAATAATGAAGTGGTTGGACTTTCAGGACGTCATTCGCTCAAATTTGGTTGACATTCTTTTTCGCATATCGGGGTTTCTTTTATATTCCTCTTCCTATTTCTATTTTAAAATATTTATGAAACAATTTCACACTGCTCAACAATCAATTTCATCCAATATGGTGCTCTGCATGAAAGGAATAATAATATTTTATTATTTTTATTGGAAAAAGTTATCTAAATTATTTATGTAATTTTTTAATAAAATATATTATCATATAATTGTTTCAAATAACATAAAATAAATGAACTGCTTAAAATAAATAATATAAATCCAAATGAAACAATAAGTTATAATAAATTCTACAAACTTAAAGTATAAATTTAGTATAACACACACACACACAACAAAGAGTTGTATTCTACAAACTTAAAATATAATAAATTTAAAATAAATTCTCCAAATTAAAAGCATAATTTAAAATAAAAAATAATTATTCATTCAAACAACAAAAATAATAATAATAATGATGATGATGATGATAGTAATTA